CAACCTCACTGGTAACTCTCTCACTTTCGTAAATCGGCACGTAACTTGGTTCGCGCAGGGACGAAGAACTTGTTTCGCGAGATAGGAAAACAGTTTCGTTTGGAGATTTCTCCGAGTCCCTGCTTTCCACCTATTACGGAACAGCAGCATCTTCACGAGTCACCTTGTAAAACTCGGCGTTCCTTCAAAAACTACTGTGCTTGCGCGACTTTCCAGACTCGCTATCCACAAATGTAAAGGGTTGCTAATCTTGGAGCAGCGCCTTCATCCGGTTGGGCAAGGTAACGGCTCTGACCCGACTCTTTGTTACGCTTTAAGCGCGAGGGCAAAGAAACAGATCACCGACTCGAAAAGATGGAGGCCGGACAAGTCAGCTCTGCGGCAACTCGAAGAGCTCTGGTTCTCACAGGCCATCTCAAAGAGATCGACAAAGGGTCTTCGTTGGTGGTGCGCCAGCCGTGCCTGGAGTACTCCCCTCCGGAGCTCAATTCAGGTACTTTTTTTTCCTTTGGGTTCTTGAATTTCCTTTTCATGTTTTGATCTTCCAGGAGAGCCCGCATTTGATATCGAGTTGATGCAGGGATTGCTGGACGGACACGATGCTCAAACCCGCACTTTTATCTTCAATCTCATGTCTGAGAGCGATTTGTTCGTTTCCAGGAGAGTGGGTCGACGGGTTTTCTTGGGAGCTGATTACAATCAACCCATGGAAGTCCAGAGGGAGCTGACCATGAAGAGAATTCAGTATTTTCTTGACAGGGGTGTGTTTCGTGGATGGCTTACAGACGATCGGCCACAGTCCGCGCTCCGTATGGCTGCTATGTTCGAGTACATCGGCCTGTTTGATCATTCACTGGCAATTAAGCTCGGTGTTCACTTCCACTTGTGGTATGCTCTCAGCATTTCTTTTTAGTTTCATGTGAGCTTGAGATTTGTGCATAGGGGGGGATCAGTGAAGTACCTTGGTTCCAAGAGGCATCACGATAAGTGGTTGATGCCAACGGAGGAATTCTCTGTCATAGGCTGCTTTGCAATGACTGAACTCGGGCATGGAAGCAATGTTCGTAGCTTCTTTTCTCTTTTTTGTTTTCTTTGTGCTTGAGTGGTTTATGATCTTTTCAGGTCCGAGGGATTGAAACTATAACTGTGTACGATCCATCAACACAGGAGTTTGTTATCAACACTCCATGCGAGTCTGCTCAGAAATACTGGATAGGAGGAGCGGCAATGGTAAAAAGCATCACTGTTTTTTTATTTTCGGCAACTGACAAATCCTGTGTTTGTTTCCAGCACGCTACTCATACAGTGGTCTTCTCTCAGCTGCATATGAATGGAAAGAACGAGGGAGTGCACGCATTTATTGCTGAAATAAGGAGTCCGGATGGCCGAATTTGTCCTGGTGTGCGTATTGCCGATTGTGGCCACAAGATCGGACTGAACGGGGTGGACAATGGCCGCATCTGGTATTGTTTTTCCAACTTGCAAAGTTTAGAAGATGAACTCAAAACTTTTTGTTTTTGTCCAGGTTTGATAATAAACGCGTACCTCGTGAAAACTTGCTCAACTCCGTAGCCGATGTAACACCAGATGGTCGGTACGTGAGTAATATAACAGATGCAGATCAGGTAAGGTTTTTTGTTCTCTGAGCTGTTACTTTTCTTATCTTCCTGTGATATTATTCAGAGGTTTGGTGCTTTCATGGCTCCTCTAACGTCTGGACGTGTTACCATTGCTGTCAGTGCTGTTTATCAATCAAAGGTTTGCCACTTGTATACTTTAGCTTCTTTTTTTTCATAGAGCTGATTTAAGGTTGGCCTTGCAACGGCTTTGCGCTATGCTCTTTCGAGGCGAGCATTTTCTCTTTCTCCCAATGAACCAGAAGTGTTACTTTTGGACTATCCCAGCCATCAGCACCGTTTGATACCTTTACTGGCTAAATCGTATGCGTATTGTTTTGCTTCGTAAGTTTTGAACTGACTGATACTTTGCAGATATGCCATGAGTTTTGCTGCCTGTGATTTGAAGCGCATCTATTACAACAGAAAACCCGAGCACGCGAAGATTATTCACGTACTTTCAAGTGGTTACAAGGCAATGTTCTCCTGGCACAACCTCAAAACACTGCAGGTAACCCCAGATGTGTTCGACATGAGCTTGTAATGAATTCCTCTGCTTTAGGAATGTCGTGAAGCCTGTGGCGGACAAGGTTTAAAATCTGAGAACAAAGTCGGGCAGCTCAAAGCAGAATACGATGTGCAACTGACGTTTGAGGGCGACAACAACGTTTTGATGCAGCAGGTACTGTTGTCGTAAGTTTGCCTTCGAATTACTTTTCGTTCCTCAGGTCAGTAAAGCGCTGCTTGGAGATTTTTTCACGTCGCAAAAGAAGCAACAGCCTATGAAAGGCCTCGGCTTAGAACATATGAATGAACCACCTCCGACAATTGGGACCAATGCCAACGTCAGGGACGTAAAGTTTCAGGTACACCATCATGTCGGTCGTTTTGTTACTGACCTCCGCCTTGCAGCTCGCTTTGTTTCGGCTTCGTGAAAGAGATCTGCTAGTAAAACTTGCACAGCAAGTGCGTGAACTCGTGTCCAAAGGATCAACCATGGCGAATGCAACGCTTGCGGTGAGTCTAACCGCGCCGATTGCTACGTTTTTGTAAGCTAACCTTCTTTCGCTTTCAGAGTTATCAATTGGCTGAGGACTTGGGACGTGCCTTCTCTGAGCGTTCGGTTTTGGAAAGCATTCTAAGCGTAGAAAACTCTCTCGCCCCAAGCCCTGAGAAGGTACCAGTGTTTTCAGAATCTTGCGAAATAACAAGCCATCCTTTCGAACAGACAATTCTGGGCTTGTTGCGCTCATTATTTGTAGCTACGACAGTGGACGAAGATCCAGTATTTCTCAGGTAAGCGCTTCCTGTTTTATGGCATTCGCTAAAGCAACGCTACGACGTTGTTCATCCAGGCATTCATACTTGAGCCCGGATCAGGCATTGTCGATACAAAAAGAAGTTGCGAGCTTGTGTCGCGAGATCCGACCCTTCATTCTCAGCTTGGTGGACGCATTTGGAATCCCAGCACCGTTTCTTGGGCCCATAGCGTTTGATTGGATCGCAGCGAATTCCTGGGACCTGGAAGAAGCAAGAAGCTAGAGTAACCTTTTCTCTATTTCCATTTGAAAACCAAAGCTAAGAGCTTTCCCCAAAAACTTAGTGGCGACAAAGTTGGCATAGGGCTTGATGGATTGGGAACAGGTTATTCGGAGCCTGCAAGCGGACGGAAGCTTCTTCGGTCGGCAGGCAGAGCTGAGGGCATTGCTGGAGCGCTTCCTCTGTGTGTGACTGTCGTTATTGGGCCTGACGATTGTGGGAAAACCAAGCGGCTCAAGCGGCTCAAGGAGATTTGGCTTTCGAATGAGGAATTGGCGGCTACTTGTCCAGTGTTTTACTTCGACCTGAGGGTTCAGTTGTGGAGCACGCCTCAGGATGCAGCGGATCATTTGTATAGAGAGTACAAGACATGGGCTGAAAAGGTGACGCAGAGGAAAGTTGCCGGTGTGGACATAGCGCTCAAAGGTTTCTCGAACACGGACTCGAGCGATTTTGGCCAAGGTAATGGACATTTATGCAGTATCCTATGCTTCTTAAGTGGTGCGCCCGGGCCAAATTTCTCAATGCCTTAACCTGGAAGGAAGCAGCGAATGCTCTTATGAGCCAGAGCCTATGTAGAGTGAAACTGGGTTTGGCAGCTACCAAGGCGGCCATGGGCTTCTCCGGGCATAAGTATGAATTGATCTGCGCAAAAATAGTGCAATGTGGGTATGTAAGCCTCAAAGATGTGCTTGCTGAAATCTACGACAGGGACAAAGCAGAGTGCAAGGACGAGATGCTCAAAGCCATCCACATACGCTATGTGACGGCAAAGACATCTTATGGGGATGTGAGCCTGTCTGAAATTGATGATGCTGGTGGTGAGGTTGACCTCGTCATGGCCCGCTCTCCTGCCCAACGAGCAGCTATGAAAGAGTTAATGTTTCATTCCAAGTCAGGAAAAGTGTGATCCGCGCGTCCTGGCCTAGAGTCGAGATAGCAAAAATATTTTCAGATTGCAGCCAGTCCTAGCTCATTCTTCCTTCTGGTTTCGATAGCCTCGTTAAAATTCAAATCGTTTGTTTACTTCTTTTGCATGCACATCGTTCAGTGTCCCTTCAGTGTTTCGCAAGGGTGGTAGGCTCTCAACAGCAGTTAAACCCAACGTTTCTCCGAAATAAGGAAAGTAGAAGAACGTCCCCAATGCTGAAGCAGGGAGGAACAGGGCCTATCTCATTTTGGAGCTCCACACTTTATTTGCGCGAATTCTGCAGGGACGAAGAACTTGTTTCGCGAGTTCATGCTTTTACCAAATACTACAGACAGCAGCATGGGTCACACTACGAGGTACTTCATCTTTCCGTTTTCATGTTTCACGAGGAGAAACTTCACTTTCACTTCGGAGCTGATAAGAATCATCCAATGTCCGGAGAGTTTGAGTTTCAGGTCTGTTTTGTTACTGATCTGTGGTCCATTTGTTCTGCAAATGGTGAGTCTAATCTCTATACTAGCTAAGTTTTTCTGAGTGAAGTTCCTTTCTCTATCAGAGTATGAATGAGCTGAGGACTTGGGGGCCGTTCTCTGAGCATTCTCCAATGTCAGAATCTAAACTGATTGTTTGTGAAATAACAAGCCATCTTTTCGAGCAGACAATTCTCGTCATTTGCAGCTGTGACAGTGGACGAAGATCCAGTTTTTCTCAGCTAAGCGTTTTGGCAAGGTAAAGCTTTCATACTTGCAGCCTGGTCGACGCAACTGGCATCGTTTCTTGGATCGATAGCGTTTTGATTGGATCGCAGCGAACTCCTCGCAGCTCGCAGGAAGAAGCAAGCGCGAGAGAGAACTCTTTCTCTCTTAGGCCTAAAGCCAAAGAAAGTGAATAGCGAATAATAAACTAGACTCGTCAATTTTTAGGGATGGCGTCGTCCTCACAGGGAGGAGGCGGGGAGGACGACGACGACGACGAGGGCGTGTGTAGGATGAGCGTGGAGCTCCGCACGGGCAGGGATGAGCTCCAGGCGAATAAGAAGAAGCTGCGATTGTCGCTGGCATCGCTGCCGCGAGCTGCCGTGGCGCGAGCTGCGATCTCGCTCAAGCGCGTCAGGGTAAACAGGGATTCCACCGCGCAGCTTGCGGTCTTCATGCTCAAGGTCGGGGCGCTCGAGGCCTTGCGGCGAGGTCTCCAGCACCGATGCCCGCCCCTGTGGTGGATCATCCAGGCGATCCCTCTCTTCCGCGCGCCTCCATTCGCGTGGCTCCAGCGATGGTATCCCTTTCGCTGCCTGATCCAGGGCACGCAGGTCTGGAAATATTTCGATTCGGTGATACCTCGCTCATCGATTTTCACTCCAGATCTTCTCCAAGCCTGTGGTCTTCCTGTCGATCGCCACGGCTCTCACGAATGCGTGGGATCAGCACGGGCGGCAGGGCGAGGGGAGTATTTTCCCAGCGCCGCCGCCATTGCCGTCGCCTCCTCCCAGTCCTCGATCGCCTTCTCCAAGATCGCTGCAAGACAGGTAAGATTTCCATCTCTATATCGTTCTAGACTGAGATCGATTGACAGGGAAGACTCCCAGGCGATGGCCTTGAGGAAAATGCTGGAAGAACACGGCATATTCGTACCCGACAGGTGTGATGCTTGTTTGTCGCTCTCTCTCTTTCCATCGCTTATACTTGGTTTATATCATCTTTGCTCTAGGATAAGCAACGATGAACTGCACAGGTTCTATCAAGCAGCCAACAAAAGCAACAAACGTTTTGTAGCGCTTGTGAAGAAGAACGTCGGGTGGCGGCAAAACTTTCGATTCCTTTCCTGCCGAGAGCTCGACGAATGGTCCGAGCTCGTCTACTGGCACCACCACGACTCCCAAGACAGGCCTTTGCTCATCATCCGTCTGGGCCTCGCTTCTACTACGCTCGTTTCGTCCCAGCGGCCACGCTTTGCGCAGGCAATCGGTGCTAAAAACTCTCATTCTTTCTGTCTGTGGTCTTTCTAACGCTTGTGTTTTTGTTTTCCAGTCTCCCAGATTGAATTCGGCGTCGTCAACTTGCTAAGGGGCGAGGATCCTCGAATCACTGTTGTCCTCGACTGTGCCGGAGCTCCAGCTGTGGGATTTCCGCTCCAGATGACGAAGTCCTGCTGCGTCCTTGTACAGGATAACTATCCGACCCGACTTGCCGCACTATTTATTGTCAACCTTCCGCCTTTTGTTCGAGTAGTCGCCACCGCGATTGTTCAGGTCATGTTTCTAGTCCCGTTTTCCTTTCCGTCTATAACGGCATGAGTTTCAACAGATTCTCAAGCCTGCCACCCGCGACAAGATTTATGTGGAAAGCGACGACTGTGCACGAATCCTGGCGGAGCATTTGGGTGGACTCGATTGGGTTCCGATTTACCTCGGGGGCAACTGCAAGTGTTCTCTTTGCAACGAGGCTCGCGCTGCCTTGGACGAGGAAAGACAGGATCGTCTACACGAGCTGGTCCAAGGCGTCGGCAACAATCGTCAGCAGCAACAGCAAACCTCTTTCGGACAAAGAGATTATCTATTCAGTGACCAAGACGAGGAGGACGTGACTCCCTTCCAGTCATGCACTCGAGTTCTGCGAGTGGCCATCATCGGCCTGCTGATGCTGTGGATTGTGGTCGCCCTCGTCGCTGGTTTGTACGAGCCTCACCTGGATGAGCTTCCGACTTGATCAATCACAGGCGAGATTCTCTCGAGTTTTATTAGGTGGTAAAACCCGTAATAAGTGACTCGTTTGCCGTTTTGCTGCTCCTTCGCGCATTCAATGCACCTCACAGGAGAAACAGGCAGAAGAAAAGAAAGTCACTCGCCATGACCTGCTTCCCTTTTCTCCGGGGTGAGTTCTGTTGTTGCTTCTTCGTCTTCGTCGCCTTCTTGTTCCAGGGAAGAAGCAGATCTACAACTGGTGGTCTTCCTTGCAATGGAGAGACTGGACTCGACACTGAGTTGTGAGCAGGCCCTGGGGAACAAAGACTTTGTCGAGGAGATGATCCAGAAGCAGCTTTTCAGCTCGCCACTACTGAATTTGACAGGTTCTTATCTGCCCTTCGTTTGATTTTTCTGGCCGACTGCTAATGTTAGCTAGCACGCACAGGGGGGCAGAAAATGGACGATGATTCTTACCAAGCTACTGTCAAGATGAAAACGGAGGAGATGCTCGAAGTTCTGGAGTCTCTGAGGCTTGGCACGGATTGGAAGGTTGAGGACGAAAGCCAGGACTTGAGAATTATGTACTGTCCTGGTCGTGGTACGCCATTTCACAGCTACTGTGTTGAAGGCATTGTCAATGCTCCGCTTGTTCATGGTAAGATTGAAGCTTCTTTTCATACTCCGTCTTGCATTATCGACAGTTATGAATCAACTGTGATTTTTATCTACAGCTCTGTGCGTGATGTGGGAAGTTCCTTGCTTTAAAAAATGGTGAGGCGATTGATGAAGTGTCTCTGTCTGTAAGCAAAGCCTTTCGTTCCGACTTTTCTTACAGGTGGCCTCACTTTACTGTGCCTTCGTTTAAAGTGTTGGAGTCCCAATGGCTGAGGATGCTTCGCATTTGCGAGAACCTTTTCCACATGAGGTACTTCGACGTTGTTAACCCATCCCGCATTTAAATTCTACAAGCTCTTGCCAGGTGCAAGGTTCCATGGCCGTTTGCGACAAGAGAAATGCTGGTCACGTCTTTCGAACTGGAGCTACCTGAATTGGATGCCGTGGTTGGCTGCTTGCGAACAGTTAAGCTATCAATCACTGTGCCTCTTTTGTTATTTTATTCACTCCAAGGGTGGTGATTTGCCAGGTCCCCCAGGAAGCAGAGACTATCGTCAAGGAGACCATCCATGGTTTTAATGCTTCTCATTTGCCTCCTCCAAAAGAGGGCGTCATTCGCATGGAAGCCAACGGTGGATTCATCCTCCAGAAGATTAGCGACGAGAAATGCTACATAAGGTACGCTATTAGTTTTTTTTTTTTTTTTTGTTTTCTTCTTAAGATAGTCACCACTTCTTTTACAGAGCAGTAATACACCTGGACCTTAAGCTCGACCTTGTTCCGACATGGGTGATTAACTTCCTTGGGCGTCAAGTTGTGGGACACGGCTTCAGGCTATACCTCAAGGTATATTTCTTTCCTTTTGGGGTGAAAAATGTCTAAGCTTTGTGTGTTACAACAGACTGTTTCTTCTGTTAAAGAGAGCAAAGTGTTTCAAGAATGCATCAGGCAACAGCCACTCTACAGCCGCATAACGTTAGAGATGCTACCAAAATCGAGCCACGAAAATGGATACAAGAGTTGAGGTGCTTTTCATAAGAAGTATTCATAAGCTTCCTGCACAAGAGCATTTACATTTATAAAAAATTTATAAACAAAGAGGAGCTTGAGGCCCACCGATACTCCTGAAAAGTCCGAACTTATTCATGAGACATATGCAAGGTGGTTTTATAAGATTTCTGTTGTTTTGCATGTCTAGAAAAATCTGCTGCAGTCAAGCTCAAGAAAGAAACCATTCTCTTCTCGATGGAATGAAACTCTCACTAGCTCCATGCTCTGGCGAGGCCATGGCAAACAAAATGGGTGGACTCTTCGTCTCAATCTGACAAGCAGCTGATGCAAAGGCTGCTTTTGAGAAACAAAGCGTAAGTATGCTGCAACAAGAACTAGCAACAGCCGTTTAAGGTATTGTCATGGAAGATGGCTTGTCTGAGCTCGAGTTTGATTTGATCCGGGCACCCTGGTCCCATCTATTTTTCACTTGGTTGTCAAAGCTTGGAGGTCCATAGGTTTTGATCCTTTCAAATCCTGCTCCAACTTTTGATGCCTTTTCTTGGCAATAATATATTGCTCTGAAACCGTGAAAGCTTACTCACCTGCAAAAAAAACTCCAGGGTTGCACCAGACATCCAATAAACCAGGGAAGCTCTTGAGGAAAATCCTAGATTCAATTTAAACAAGTCACACCTCATGGAATTGATGGTGATCTTGATACAACTAACTAGTTAAGCTTGTCCTCAAACACATGGTTTTGGCATTTGTCTTTCACACTATTGTCCAATCTTGTGAAAGCCTTGACCGAGCTTAAACTCAATCAGCTGAGAACAAGCTGTCTCAAAAGTTTCCAAAGAGCAGAAGGCATAATACAAAGGTCACAAACTCGTCTCATCACAAGTTGCATTGTGGTCACTCCACGCCTTGGATGTTGATGAACTACAGGCCTCCATTTATCTTGGAAAATACATCTATGAGGAATGAAGCAATCTGGACAATAGTATAAGCAAAATGAGCACGAGAAGAACCATACATACCGTGGAAAAGCATGAGTTCTACACTCAAAACGACACACACATGGCACGGGCAATGTTCGATCAAATGCCTGAGTGCCACAACATTGTGGCATGGACTGCTAGGCCTACGCTCTCACTGGGAATTTCTTCCACGCTTTAATTCGATCCTCTACCAGGAGATGGTCTTGGAAGGAATGGCTCCCGACTAGATCACATTCACTTCCGAAATCAGAAAAGTTCTTTGTCAGGATGTACCATCTAGTAGGACGAAACTGGCCTCAAGAATGCTAGAGCATAAGTTATAACATGTAGCTACGTGGGGCTCCTCGCCAAATGATGAACCTATGCAGAGACTTGCCCGATCGTGGAGCACTAGTACACGCAAGGTGGATTGTTAACATTGAGGATGTCATTGTCGTGTGCTAAAGTGGCCTGAAGAACGCCACCGTGATTGGATTCCTTGTGATTCCATCACTCTTTTAGCTAATAGAGCTTCTAATTACAATCTTTTACAAGGAACCCACAGTACAAAGACTAAGCTCGGTTACAATCTTTTAAAATGAACCCAGGACTAAGCTCAATAATGAAGATTAGGCCATTGTTGGAATGTCCATTTTAAGGAGTTGTGCTCTTATTGGATAGCTCATTGTAACGCTTGAGCTAAATGCTTTTCAATTAAAACGTACAATAATATGCTTTGCCTCCTGTGGGAACATGCAGTCTATGTTAGGAGATCTCAGCAGGCATGGTGGATCAATGTTCCATCTGGAACGGATGAAATTTCTTGCTCAAGGTGCTCGTCTGACCACATTCCACAGCAATATTCTGAAGCTGTACGTGAAGGAGATATTCGATGGGTTGTACAAAGAGATCAGGAAGATTCTGGTGCCGTTCATGTGGATGTTGTGCTGCCATTTGAATGGAAATTCGGGGGTTGGTAAATCTGCATTCGTCTGGTACTTCCGGTCATGATCTACGAGTCCAGAGCGACTGTTTTGATGTTCAAGGGTAACAAGCTCAGGGTGGTGAATAGAGAAGACTTCCCTCAGGAGATCGTGCTGGACAGCAAAGTAGATACCATCTCATCGATCTGTGAGTGGACTTGGGGCGGATGGTTGGAAATAAAACCCTTGTTGCTGCTTCATCACCAGACGAGTTCAATGTCAGAAAAGCCAAGCGTACAACGTTCACTCGCTATCTGCCTGCGTGGGAAAAGCACGAGTACGATGCTCTTGTGTCTTCTTGGAGGAAACGCGTGACAGACTACGAGAGTGGATCGGAAGAAGCCAAAGAGATAACACATGCTGCTGAAATGGCGTTTGAATGGTTTGGAGGTATCCCCTGGTTTCTTTGGGATGTAGAAGCAAACGGTCTGACTGTGGAAGCTTTCGAAAGGGATTGAAGCACCTGAGTATGGTTCTGACTCCTGATTTTGTCCTTCAAGCGTTTTGAGCGTTGGTGGTCCAGGAAACCAAGGTGCGCATCTTCATGCTCTCAAACATGCTCCTGGCGGCGCTCAAGTTGAAACTTGCGTGAGAGCTATCCAGCAGACAATGGTCTTGCGCAGGATCTCGTGAACGGCCTTGTCAAAATGCCCATTCTCGCAAATGCGAGGATCCACGGTACTGGATTCTTCTCCGGGATTTGACTGAAGCTGTTCTTCGTGAGGGCAATGACGCCTTGGATGGTCCTAATGATGGAAGTCGTTGTAATTCTTAGGATACTACTTTATCCATCACGAATAGCATCAATACAGTAATCACTTCGAAGCTTTTAAAATAGGATCTACATATTTTGTCTTGGTAATGGGAGATTTCACTTCCTGAACATAGTCGCTTCTATATATCAGGTGAAGCAAGATCTAACGTCCACATCTTGATTGATTTCATTTGCTGTTAAATCCATCCATTTTTCGAATTTTTTTTGTGTGTGGCTATCCGGCACCAGGAATCGTCTAAAATCCATGGTGAGGCTCTTTGGGTATCGAGGTTTCTTCATTTGAATCCTTGGAATCTTTCGGTTTTCGGTTTTCGACATCCAAGCCGGCTCCCTTTCGTCCTTGGGCGGCTGGATGCCTTGGATGATCGCCGCATTTTGCCGCGTCTTGGCGTCCGGAAGGGATGTGTCAGGGAGCGAAGCAATTGCGTCAGAATAGATGCAGCTGAGCTCCTGGACCAGCTCGTCCCAAGTCCGGCACGACAGGCCCGTTGTGTAGTTGAGAGAGAGGGGATGGAAAACGTCGCCTTTGTCTGGGTGCAACCGGATGGAGAGCTCCGAGGGATTCAAGCCACCCAAACATCGAGAGATGGCAGCTTTCCGCTGCACAGAGGAAGACGAATACCCGAGTCTCTCTCACCTCGCGAAACCGTAGCCGCACTAAAATCTAACGGTTTGGATGGTATATTCTAAGATATCCTTTAATCCAACGGCTGTGATGTATCGCTCTTAACCTTTTATTTGTTTGTAGTTACCAC